ACATGCTTTGATGCAGCATCCTCGAAGATCTAGCAGGAAACTCCAGATGCTCCTGAGCTGCAGTAGAGCATGAAAACCCCACCCAAACCAGCCGAAGAAGTCTTAAAGCCCTAAACCTTAGACCCCTAAACCCTAAACCCTAAACCCCTAAACCCCTAAACCCTAAACCCAAAAGAAGTCTCTTAAAGCAGAAAACGGCCCTCCTAAGCGCCCTGGCAGGGATGCTGCTCCCGGCCCGGGCCCAGGAGCAGATCTGGGGCCGAGGCCCGGGTGTTCCCAGGTCCGAGGCTTAGGCAGCCTTTTTAGGGTCTTATGGGGGTTTAGGGGGTTTAGGGGGTTTTTGGGTTTTTTGCGGATTTGGAGGTTTAGGGGGTTTAGGGGTTTGGGGGGTTTGGGGGTTCAGGGGTTTAGGGTTCGAGGAACTTAAAGTATGATTGGGGGCTTTGCGGTTGCAACATGGTTGGGGTTTGGGGTTGAAGGTTTTGGTGTAGGATACGCGGTTTAGGAGGTATCAGAATGATGTGATCAGGCTTTGCGATTAGGTAATCGTGCGGTTAGGGTATTGAAGATTACGATTTTAGAGTTTGTTGCATGTTATACGTACAAGGGTTGGGTGATGGAGCGTTTTTGAGGCTTTGGGGCTTCATTTGTAGCAGTGGCTTCAGTTTTGGGATTTACGGTGTGTCAGTTTCACCGGTATGTCAAGCTTTAAATGGTGTTGATTCGGGCGTAATGCAGTGTTTTGTGTGGTTGGTAAGTAACCTGTCGATGCTGTTTTTAAACCCTAAACCCTAAACCCAAACCCTTCATGGCGTGATCCAGATGCGGTTTGCGAGACATGTTTGGGGTTTAGCTTCAGCTTCAGTGTTCAGCTTAGCTAGGCAGACGGTTTGGGGTTTGGGATGTCCGGTTTAGGGCTTGGGGTTTGCACTTTTGAAGTTCGCATTTGCAGGGTGTGTGTGGCCTAGGGTTCAGACAGCACGCATAGCACCTTCGATTTAGGGCTTTTGGGGTTGTGGGATTCATGGTGGAGCGGGTAAGAGCCCAAGGCTTAGAAGGTCAGGGCTCACTCAACAGAATAGGGCTTAGGATTGACCTGATTAGATTTTAAAGTCACGGACGGCCAAGACAGAGTGATGGGTCCAGGATTTCGAGTCCAGGGTTCATAGGGTTTGGTATGGAAAGGCTTCGACTGGGTTCCACCTGTCAAGACAAGGAGACTTCAGAACCCCGCGCTGTCTGTAGCTTGACGGGAACCCTTGCCTGGAGGCCTGCAGCTCCAGAGGCGACAGCGCCGTCGAAACCGCTGGATCCAGGCGGAGCCGAGTTTGGAAACGAGAGGTGAAGCTCCGCATGCAGCTATGCCGAAGGGTGAGTTTTGAATTCAGCTGCAGCAAAGTGTGGGGAAGGCCGCAGTTGTGCTGTCAAACTCATCGCTTCTCCAGCGCCCGCACAGCCGCTGCAGGTCGTGAGTCGTGTGCATGCGCTGAAGGGCCTGCGCGAGCAGATCTCGCTCCGTCAAATCTTCGACCCGTTCGTGCCGGTCCAAAACGATACGATATGCTTTGACAGGCTCGGCGCCGCTTTCGGCTTCCACGGAGAGGCCTGGGTTGGTTGCTGGGCTTTGAGGCCGACCTCCGAGATGCTTTGATCGTGCAGGAACGCCTCAGATGCGCGGCAGGGGTCTGACCATTCTGGCGCCCTGCTGGTCGTTATGCCCAGCTGCTCGGTTGCACCTCGGTCAGCCCTGGGAAGCTGATGCCCCTTTTATTCAAACGGCCGCGAGAAACCGCGAGGTGGCGCCTCCGCCGCCCGCGCTGTAAGGGACTGGGAGATCCAACGGCGCGTCGGAGTCCGGATGGAGGTCGAGGCAGTGCCCTTCTGAATCTGTCATTGGCCATTTCATAAGGTTCTTGCAATCTGACGGGTGCAGTCGGTCTTGCAGCCTGCCATTGCTGGCGAAAGGACGGTTGGAAGGGCACTTGTTTACTCGCGTGAGGGTTTGTTTGGCTAGGGGGCCACCAGTACCCAATTCACCATTGAGAGATTATTATGCTCAACTTCTAGTATTGTAGTAGCTGAGACTTTGCGAAAGGCTTGACAGCACAAACTGCCCAAGGGCAACATCATCAACGCATGTTCATTCTGTTGCCTTTTGACGAACCTTCGGTCCTGACACGGCTTATCGCTTCTGCTATCGCTTGTGTCGCTTTTGGCGCGCAGCTTTGCTTTCATGAAAACGTCATAGCATCGGGTGAAGTTGTGTGGTTGGGCGGTGATGACAACATCTTGAAGCAAGCGAACCCGTTGTAGCCAGGATTGCGTTAAAGTCGTTGTTGTGAGGTTACTGCGGTGTTCTGAAGCAACCAAACCTGTCAGCCAGGATTGGGGTAAAGTCGTTGTTGGGTCGGTGCTTGCGGTGTTCTGAAGCAACCAAACCTGTCAGCCAGCATTGGGGGTAAAAATCGTTGTTGGGTCGGTGCTTGGTGTTCTGAGGCAACCAAACATGTCAACCAGATTGGGGTTAAAGTCGTTGTTGAGGAGTGCTCGCGGTGCTCTGGAGCAACCAAACCTGTCAGCCAGGATTGGGGTAAAGTCGTTGTTGGGTCGGTGCTTGCAGTGCTTGCGGTGCTCTGGAGCAACCAAACCTGTCAGCCAGGATTGGGGTAAAAGCCGTTGTTGGCAGACGAGTGCGCTGTTCAGAAGCAACCAAACCGTTTTGAGCGGATGTCATCATCAGACTTAGCGTTAAACATGACTTCACTCTCAGAGCCGGACTCCAGGCCGCGACTTTGGGCGGATCCAAAGCTCTGCTCTTTGGAGAAGATCAGCTCGAAAGCTGAGACTTTGGCCTTCGGTTTTAGGATTGGGTTTAGGGTTTCAGGCACATATACTATTTGTAGCGATTTCGGGTTTCGGGCACAAAGGAGCAGAATGATGCCAGGCAGCAGCGAGTCGTGTTGGTGGCCGTAGGCGTGAGTGAATCTGATTCGGGGTTCGAGCCATAGGCGCTTCTTGTTATGATGATGGCCTACAGGAGCCAGAAGCAACTCCACAGAATAAAGATAGGAAGCTGCTGCTAATGACGATCGCGCTATGTTTCCTTGACAGGTCAGCTCAACTCGATGGTTCCTTTTCCTGGCTGGCTCGGAAACGGATCCCCGTTCAAAGCAGTGAAAGTGCCGGTAATTACACAGAGAGACCAACTCTCCGGGGTGAGGCTCCTTCACTCAATGCACTCCAACTCTCCGGTGGCTTCAGGACTTCTCCCCACGGCCTCAGCCGAGGCTCAGAATTACAGGAGCGCCAGTGGCGACGGCGCTCGCATGCGCCTTTGCGAGCACCCCTTGAACACAGCTTGCGAGCTTGTTCCTCTGCACTACGCTGCAGCAACATCTTTTTGGGGAGTCTCGTTGAACCGTTTTGATTAGCAGCATCGGCTCTTCTTCCTGTTGCTATTGTTGGTCTTGTTACCACTATTGTCAGTGCGAGCGTCGTAGATACTCGGACTGATATCACTTGCCTTCTAAACCACTGCAAATTCCCAGAGGCGTATTGCTGCAGAGGGCCCAGTGGCTGGAGCAGCTGCCTGCAGAGAAGTAGCGGCAGACGAGCGGAAAAGAACCTTGAGCTGTGGATGCCGTTTCCAGCTTCGGCTTGAGTGGTTGCTGTGGCGCTCGCAATGAAAGGATGGTTCGCGTCTTGACAAAGGCGAAAGACGACCGAGGGTGATAACACTGCGTGGTCACGATGATTCCTGGTCTATTGATATTGAGCTCGTCTAGATTGCAGTGCAGTATGCAGTAGATGGTGTTGGTACAAAAGCAGACCTAAACCACCGATGCATCACAAACTTACGCTGTTTTCAACCAGATCTACGGTGAACTGCGCCAGCATCCCACAGTGGTATCCCAAGCCTCCTCAGACGAAAGAAACAGAGCGAAGCCTTTGAAGGACCTTGCTCGGAAGCAGATCCTCACAGCCCTCGAGGCAGGAACTGCGGTGTGCCGACTTTGGGAAGCTAGCACGGTTCGGCGAGTTTCGGCTTGAGAGTCCAGGGCTCAGATCTGATACCCTAATACGTTAATAATAATAATAAGAAGAATGATCATCATAATAATTATTATTGTTGTCTTATGTCGGGATGAAAGAGTTCTTAGCGTAGTTGATCGCTCATGGCATCATTCGAAGACCTAGGCTGTGCAGGTCTGAAAACATGGCCAGGAGGCGATGTTCGGGGAAAATCTAGGCAGGCCCTAGGTGGGTAACCGATTGTGACTGAAGGTCCAGAAGATGTCACCAGGAGACGGTTTGATCCTTGACAACAGGAGGTCCCAGAGCAACAGTGTTCCCGACAAGCGGTTTATTCGCAGCAGGTTGCGGAAGCACCGCCCTGTCCACATCGAGTGAGCCAGCAAGCGCGCAAGCCAACACCAAAGGTTTGCAGAAGCGGCCGTGGAAGCATGTGCCCGAACCCTAAACCCTAAATCCTATATAAAGACCCTTTAGGCCCTATAGGTCCTATTACAGGTCTAACACCCACGCAGCCTTTGGACCAGACCTGACGTGCCTGGGGACTCTTGGGGGAAAGGCCGGGCCGAAGCGGATTCGGCCGAAGACCCGGGAAGAGCTCAGGCGGCTCCCTCCGGCTTAGGGGCCTTTTATGGCTCTCGTTTCTTTTTGGGGGCTTTTACAGCTTGGGCGGGGGGGTTTGTGGTTTTAGGGTTTAGGCTTTAGGGTTTACGACTTTCGGGTACAAGGGTACGAAGCAACTGCATCTTGACATGTCTGGGAAAGGCTGCCCACAAGCAAAACTCCCTGCGGCATGGTTGGGATCGAGAGAGGGCATCTTTGCCGAAGAAGTTGGTCAGATATACTGATGAGGTGAGAGGTTTCACAATAAAGCGAATCAGCTGGTACGAACCATGTGGCGGAGTTTGGTCGCAAGCATGAGGCTCGAAAGCATTTTCGGGAAGGTCTTCTTGGATTGGCGGTTGCAGGTGGCGCCTGGAGGATCTGCGTGAGGAGCTTGCGAAGTTGAAGGTGGACGCGGAGCAGCGGAAGGCGGAGGGACTGTCTTGTGAACTTGTTTCGCGTGTCTGATTGCTGAGCTGGGTTGCATCTTCCGGGGTTGCTTACCTGTGGGAGGTGTGAGCAACAGTATCTTTTGACCTGCTTCTTATATTCATCGGGACGACACGGCCTTGTCATGCCCAGAGACTTGTCAGAACAGAAGCTGTTTATGGGCTTTCCCCTATGACTTCTCCCGACAGGGCATGCTTCGTGCATGGACTCCCATAAAACCGGCGTGCACACTCCTCGCAATTGGCATGTGTACCTGTTCGCATGATGTCGCATCTGAAGCCGCAGCCAACAGTTTTCGACTTGCGACAAGAGCCATTTCCTGCGGACAAGCTTTTTGTTGAAGGCTGACAAGCGAAGGGCACTACAGACCCTTATGCATGCTCTCATCTTTCCTCCTCTTGAAGAAACTTCAATTTGGCCGACCCAGTCTGTGTAGAACATTACGGAGGCCCCGGATACAAGAAAAGTGTGTGTCTCAAGCTTCCGGCCAGGCACAGCGCCCCGTTGTGACGCAGCCGAAAGCAGGTGCCGAGCTACCATTGGGATCGTCACAGGGGGCATAGGCATGAGTAAATGTAGAGGCTTGTGATAGCATGTTGCATCATGTTGCCTTTGTCGTGCTCCATTCCTTGCACGTGCTGCAGTGTGAACATGTTAAGAACTCTCAGAGATACAGTACCGCAGTCAGCAACGCTGAGAAAAATAGGTGTACCTAGGCAGGGGCTCCACCTGAAGCCTGGCCTGTTGGCCCAAGTTTGCATGAGGTGTCACATCGACTTTACTAGCCCTTCTTCCAGCCTCAAAGGTGAGAAAGAGAACCTCGCGGAAGAGATCTCCGCGCAAAAGACGGCCATCCAGGCAACGTGGCTTCTGCGGGTCTCGCAGCGTTGACGCAGGGACTTCTGGGAGCCCGGAGCCCTAATGAGCCCGACAGCCCCAAGTGGAGCCCAAACCCCAGGCCCCCAAAACCTCATAAACCCAAAGCCCCAAGGCCTAAAACCCCGAAACCATCCGAAACCCCTTAAAGGAGGAGGCCTCATATTGTACCCGTAAGGCTTCAGCCGAGCCCCTCCAGGGAGCTTCTCTCCAGGAGTGGAAGAAGCGCGTCGCCGGCTTGGAGCAGGAGGGCGCGGGGCTGCAGGCCGGGTAGATCTCCAGGGTTGTTGGGAAGTTTAGGGTTTAGGAGTTGGGGTTCAACAGGCTTTTGGGGGGTGCTGCTTGCTTCAGGGTGTTGGGGGGTTGCATTTGTTGTTTTGCTTGCGCTCTCGCCGGGTGTCTGTTTCAGAGGCCGGAGTTTTACCGGGTTTAATGCCAGGTGTTTCGGGTTTCTGGATTTATTTTGCGATGAGGCTCTTATGGGGATCGGGGTTCTGTCATGTGCAACGAGGTAGCCATTGCCAGTGCGGAGCAAGTTCTCCAGCGTGGCCGCGAGCGCTTGGATGCTGCATGTTCGCCGTCGTGGGCCGAGAAATGCGGGAACGGGCTGGGGGGATTTGCGATGACTCTGCCAGCTTCTCGACATGTAGCCTTGAGGTGGCAAGTGTCGGAGAGCCAAAGCGCTCACGTCTCCGCCAGCGCTGTCAAGGCACGTAAATGGGCGTAAGCATACAAAGCATCTATACTCTGGAGCTCTGCCTTCCAACAGGGGCGTTCAGAATCCTGGCTGGGGTTGGCCCGCGAGTGCCCGCTGCTGGCCTCAATCGGGGCTCATGATGAGTATTGAAGACCTCCAGCTTGCATGGATGCAATCTAGTAGCTTTCCACAGTGGTCGCACGACGTTCGAATCTCGGCGCTGCTTCTTGCGGCACTGCGCACCTGCGAGTGTTAGTTTGGCTGGCAGGAGCAGCTCTTGACAAAGGAGAAGGAGCCGCGCGCAGAGAGAGGGGTGACAGCGTTGGCATCTCGCTTTCTCTCTCCCTAAGACTCAGTAGTTTACAGGAAGCTCCATGGGATTATCAAGTGCTTTGGCCCCATGAAACATCCCACGAAGCTCGGGGCCCCTGCTAAACCCATACATATATACTTATATAGAATGGATATGTATGTATGTAACTGTATGTATGTATGTATGTATGTATGTATGTATGTATGTATGAGCGTAGGTGCATATGTGCATATGTGCGTATGTGTGTATGTGTGTATGCGTGTGCGCGAGTATGGGTGTATGTGTGTATGTGTGT